ATAACCGTTTAATGTCAATACCTTGTAATTAGTCATGACGACTATTGCATGAACCCAAACATAGCTGACATTAACAATCAATGATCTAATCGCTCAAATGAATATTACCCAAATTTATAATCATCTGGATGAAATAGACACCTAACGAACATAATTCACTTATTGATTTGATCAAACTTATAAACACGAGGTGATAGATCGACGTAAGAAGATGTTGTCTTATGGCAACTAGTCACCAACAATAAGTTCATACATCATTCTTTCCATCAGCATATTACAGTCTATGTATTCCAAGCTGAAGGTCAAAATAAATGTTTTCGATGAGAAAACATAGAAATTCCAAATTTCAGTAATAAATTTAAAAAATTAGAACCTTTTATAAGTCCCCCAGCAAACATGAAAGTCCAACTCAATGTATTCTTGTGGAAAATGTGTTCTTTGAAAGAAACTGACATGGCGATAAATCAGTGTCTGGACAAGGTTTTTAACCAAGTTGGTGGGCATGGAGGATCCATCCACAAATTATTGAATTTTGTTGAATGAGCTGAGATACTACTTAGCTGTCTATTCCAAAGAATGTGGTTTTCTTGAGGACCACTACTTGAACTTACGATGTAGAAGTCTAATCCACAAGACAGTGGAGCAACGTTTGGAGATGCTGTCTCATGATAGCTAGTCACCAACAGTGGGTTCGTACGCCACCCATTCCATCAACATACTAGAGCTCATTTGTTCCACTGGTTTAGGAATGAGAATTTTCAAACTCTTCTAGATGAATCCTTCATTTCCACCAACTCGGCGAAACCCTAGTTCAGATACTCATTTTTCGTCCCCTCAAATTTGTAAACAACACGTTTGCTAAGAGTAAGCCATCAGCAGGATATTCATATTAATGGTTATATACGGATGGCCTGTAGAGAGGGGCAATAAACTCCTCACACTCTCAGCTATACCAAGACACATTCGGGCTAGGCTAGATGTTTTTGCAAAAGCTGACCATCATTATAAAAGCAACCATTTTTTTGATTGCGAGTTCTGGTGAAAATCTGATTTAAATTATAGGCACATTTTATCAAAAATCAATAATCACTGATAACCCTCTGAATATCAATGAGTACTAGACTTTTATAACTCACGAATAAAACTCATTCATCATATTTTTATCAAAAGAATTTCAATGATTTATCTTACAAGTTTCAAATACTTTATTTAAATAATAAAATTTTTGAAGTTCAGTCAGTCATTCAGTCAACAACAACACAGATCTTTTAACTTACGTACATCAGTTCAAGTTACCATTCCACATTAGCACAGAGATACAATTGTCACTTCAAATCCTATAGTAGTAGAGGTAGTAGAAATATTAACAGTAATCAGAAACTTTAGGTTCGACTCATCGTAGAGATAAGACAGTTTACTAGGAAGTGTAAGAACGTTTTTATTCTCACCGATATGCTCTCGTGTGCTTTTTATGGCTAATATGAAGGCGGATGTTACTTCCTGGCTGCCCATACACTATGGAAGAGCTCTGTTCACGTGAAACGTTACCGGAGAACTTGATTAAAAAACCATCGGCTATTCACTTCTGCTCGCCTAATTCTTTTCTAAATAACACACCTACGCTACAAGAAGTCTGTGAGTATTGACTTCTCTCTCAGCGGCTACACACGCAAAAGTCAGAGAAGAGCATTTTCCAAAAAGACAGAGAAACAGTGAGACAACGCACTATACCCCACTATTAAACGTACAAAAACTCCGCCAAATAATCAATATATAAAATCGGAAACTTACTTTCTGATAAATCAATAAATTTGTTGTCACCAAGATGGCCAATGGTGCTAAAAATTGTCCAATGATTAAAGCAGGAATAATAGAACTTGTATAATACATATATGTTTGATATTTCGCATACATTGTATGTTGTAATGATGCTGTATGTTTGCTTGACAACAAATCATTAGAAAAATATACATTATAATAATAATGATAAATCACTAATGAATTGACATATTGTATATAACTAATATTATGATGATTATTTATACTACTAATTAATTTGATATAAGTAGTTTTCCAATTTGATATAATATCAAGTTGATGTTGTTGCACCAAATGACTATCAGTAGTAGTAGTAAGTGTTTTCGTTGTTGTTGTTGTGAATTGAGCAGAATGTAGAAATGGTTGATTCAACAATGATGATGAAGATGAAGATGACGTAGTTAATAATAAAAACTTCTGTCTTTTAATTTGTTGTATAATCAAAATGAAACTATAGATTGAAGCTGATACGAATAAAATAAACGGTAGAAAACATAACAATACACGAATAAACCATGTAATACGTTTATACAATTCACTACGTTTCTTATTTATCAACATTACTGATGATGCTGATGTGGATGATTTCGATTTGATTGATGTTGTCACTGTTGTTCGATTCTTGTACAAACTGGTAGAAGGTGTACACCAAGCGAATAGTGTGTGATAATGACTATGCATTGTAGTACAGTAATTTTGTTTAAATCGATTTAGTGTATTTTTTATAAATGAAAATGTACTATCATTATTATTATTATTAGTATTACAGGTTGTTGGTTTATTCTTGGTACTACTAGTACTACTAATATTATTATTATTAGTAGTATTGTTATTTAAAGTTTGTATTTCACTAGGCCAATGTATACCAAGTGTACGTTCTAAAGCGATCCATAGAATAGCGCCTATTTCTAATGTTTGCGCTATATCTATTGTCCATATATTAATAAATGCAATCAATGTTAACCATGCTTTGATTGCATCATGTTTTTGATCAATATTATGTATAATTATCTGACATGTACACCAACTTAATAAACATATTGATAAACTTAAATTACTTATTGATAAACCAAGTAAACCTCTTAAATAACGACGTTGTCTTCGACTACGTGGTGTATGATGATGTTGTGTTGATCCATGATGATGAGGATAAGGATAGAAATGATTCGGTTGATTCAATTTAATTAAACTAACTGATGATGGATATTTATTCATTATTGGTGGACTTGATACAGAATATGAACGTGTTGTTGGTATTGTTCCACTGGTTGTATGATGATGATGATGCTTCATGATTACTTCTTCATTCGATGATTGATTTGTTAAGAAATAATTAAATCCATGAGAAAATTTTCGATTTGACCATTTATTGAATAGAAAATTGAATGTTGAACATGGTTGGTTAGTAGTTTTATCACTAGTATTACTATTATTAGGCATAGATAAGGTCGAGTTAATATTGTTACTGCTAGTAGTAGTATTAATAGTAGTATACATATTACTATTACTATTATTGTTATTATTATTGTTAGTAATAGTTATGAAATTATTAGAAAAACTTGAATTATTCATTGTACTAGATGGTTTCACTTGTCGACCTAAATATAATAATCCTGTATTTGCACAAAATGAACTAAATGCTAAAAACAATATGATAAACATATCAAAATGAAAATGCCATTGTTTATCTGCTGCTGATATAATCGATTGATGTTGTTGTGATTGTGGTTGTTGTTGTGAAGCATTTTCATGATGTAAGAATACTGATTGATCATTGAATAAATTCATGCTAGACGATACATTTTCTGGATGGTGATTTACACTGAAATTTGATATTTCACCAGAAATTATAATAATTCCGTATAATTTTATGAAAAAAATGAATAGGAATAAATTTTGTCCACTGTCAACTGATCTAATCATAACTTCATTCAATTTGTACCAGAAGTGGTAATAGACACGATAGGTTTCATGAAATATAATTGATGTTCATTGTTCAATAATTGTTCATTGTTCAATAATTGTTCATTGTGAACATTATTATGTCTGTGATAAATTTTTGTTTTAAAAACTAATCTTGCATAAAATTACATCATTTAAATTGTAATTTCTTTACATCAAGGTATTTCGTTTGTAGAGGCAAAAAAAATGTGATTCTAACACTAACTGAACCGGTTTCACAACATTGACAATAAAAAAGGGTCAACGAGAAGAAAAAAAACCAAACGGAACAAACTAACCAATCAACGATCAGTTAATAAGTCTGTCCATCTATCTCTCGCTTTGGTCTGTTTGTCTATCGATCAGCAGCATCAGCAGTAGCGAATGGCGGTAACACATTCCAATCTTATGACTAATCAAGTAAGATATAACCGAATTTTTTTAAAAAATACGACAAGGTCATTTCAAGAATGATTGGTTGAAATGAACAAATGCCAGCGTTGAAATATTCCATAATTTAGTTCAAAGATAAAATTAATTACACACAGATGATAGATATACTTACTTATCTAACAATGAAGTCTCGAAACGCGAGAAAGTCAAAGGATTCGTCGTATTCAATCAAAAAACGATAACAAACAAACGGATATGTTTCAATGTTTTCAATATATTTTTCTGCTTATTGATTATCTATCTATTGTATGAAATAGGAAAGATAAAATATAAATGCATCTGTTTTTGCTACTGAATTTTTACATTCACCAATAATCCGTAAATTAGGTTAAATTCCACAATCTTAGTCATTTGTTGAAAATTGTTTTTTTTTTCTGGTTACAACAATGAAAAATCTGTTTCGAAAGAATCTTTTTTGTTGTTGTTGTCATATGAATTGGTGAAGGGAAGAATAGTTGGGTTAAACAAATGAATTAACTAATTTTCAGAGATTACATATTTAGTGGTGATCGAGTCGAGATTGACTATGATCACCAATAAATACTTATTACTAGCCCGTCACTGTCAAGATAAATAAATCCAGGGTAAAGAAGAATATATTTGCCGGTGATTTCATGATGTCGAAAGAACACCGAAATCATAACAAGAAAGTAAGTGGTTGACATAAAGAGCAACATGCAATGAAGAATTGTAGCAACACTAACTGGAAGTTGCGCGTAAATAAGTGTTATTAGTACAGTTAAACAAAAGGAGTATAATAAAACAATTATTGTTTTGTTCATACAAGCATTTCACTATACATACTTCAATTTGTAGCTTGTATTATTCATGACTAAACAGTTGTCAACTATTCCTTAATTGTCAATGGTGCTTCAAATAAGATCGGTGGTATGTGACAAATTTAACCTAAAATTCAAGCCGACTCCCAAATTATGAATGTCAGATAAACACACTGACTCAGAGATTCCCCTGAAAATTTAATTAGAGATTGGAACTGTTTGAAATAAGGACTACGGGAAACGGGAAACTTGCCACAGACTGTACTTGATGATTGTCTCTCTATAACTCAAAATTACCAAGTTTTAAAGTTGTACCATTGGATGCTAACATAGTGATTCAAATGATCAAACGTTTGGCGCAAAAATTACAAATCCTCAGATCGATATCTGACGGAGTCTTTGATATAAACTGCTGAAGAGTTTCGAAATGGCCGAACAATTATTCATGATGATGTCCAATGGAATTGCAACTTGAGTCCGTCTGTTATGAATGAGACCTACTCAGCTAAGGAGCGTTCTAAATGGATGGGGGAGATGCATAACACAGTTGCATACTTTGGACAATGTTCCATTAATATTGGTGTAGTCCATAATGATTATTAAACCTTTACAACCACTCCATTTCTAGATCAGATAATGGAACACTACTTACAAACATGGACCACGCATTTCACAGGAGTCAATTCATTTAAGTTAAAATCGAATATTGAATCTCCAAACAGAGACGAAAATTTTTTAAGATCATGGCTCACATACCTAATCATAATGCTGGTTATATGTCAAGCAACAATTCATATCAACAAGGCTTGTACAATTAAGAGTTTACAAGATGTTCAAGTTTTGTAAAAAAGATCACTTCTCAATGAA